CAACATTCAGGAAGTAATTGCCAACATAATGCCTGCTATGCTGGCAAGAGTCATGACAAACGTCAGAAATTGGTTTACTCAGTGTATGGGGAATGGAGAATGAGTGGCGTCACCTACCTAATTTGATCTTCAAAACTACATAAAACAAAACTTTAGGTATGCACCTACATTATAAAAAAAATTAAAGATTTCTGATTCATACAATGGGTTTTATTCAGTTTTTAAAAAAGGAAGTTATGCTGCCTCACCCTGTATAATAAAATAAACAATAATAATTGCAGACATGCCAGTTCCCCCTCACCTGTTCCGATCTGATATAAAGGGAAGATGTGAATTGTGGGATAAAGCAGATAAAATTCCATGCAGAAAAATTATGATTCTTCCTGATTTTGTCCAAATCATTGGTCTCTTAAAAACAGTAAAGAGACCAGCTTTCACAATCATACATAGAAAAGAGAAATACAACTAACTTTAATATTCTAACTTTAATATTCAATTATATATCTTGACATTTTGAAATTTTGTCTAGTTCCTTCTTAACTATGCTTCCAAATCCATAGTCTTCTTCTGATTTCTTGACTGCACTCTCCATTCCGATTAATGGCTGGGCCAAGGTATGAATAATTCATACTGCTAATACTGAAATGTCCCTTTATCACTATCAGTGAAAGTTTTGAATAAATATTTTTCAATACCCTTCCATCCTAGCTTTTGCACATAAACATTTTAAATTTTCCTGATACTATCTGCATACATCAAATTGCTTTTCACACTTTTGTTTATTAGGAATCCTATCCTGCCAAATTCATGAACATTCCCTGTGATTTAAGTATTGGAGGGGATTCAGAGGGCTTAGACCACTCAATAGCTTGATAGATGGGAACAAAGAAAAGGAAAGCGAGCAGTTAGCAGGGAGTGGGACGTTATATAGGAAAATATTGGAATCACCACATAGAGAAGCCTATATCATCAGGTGTTCAAGACCGGACAGTGATTGAACAAAAAGGAAACACTGAGATAAATCAACAATTCTTGATAATGCCCTCACTTATTGATCAAGGTTTGTTACAGATTTGTGTCCATGCTTGCTTTTTTGGTTTATGGCATAGATTCCTTGCTGAGGTATCTATTTGAGAATACTGGATCATCTCTTCGCTGTTTTGAAGCAGCACTTTTGTCAAATCTGTGTTTTTCAACAAATGCATATCTCAACCAAATTCTTTCTGCTGTGGTCCTGGCCCCATTCAAAGAGCCCTATCTCCTCTCTGATTTGCATCTTCAGCAACTGCACCTGTGATTGGTTATAGATGGAATTCTGTACAGGCATTCAAAGCTCAGAGAAAGAAAAGTGCCACTTTGACAGCAATCTCTTCAGGAAGAATAAAGCTGGGGTGTACGGCACTCTCTGCTTTGTTTTAACAACAGCTGGATTGTATCAAAGACTTCATATTTCAAGAGGAGCTGCTTACTGTATACAGTGCCTGGAATGCATTCAGCATGTATCTTTTCTTCCTCTTCATTCTGACACCTGGGATGCTAAAGTTTTAGTCCTGACATAACCACCTGGAATCATTGATCCTTGCTCCCCTCACACTCCTATATGATATATTAAGACACAGTAGTCTCCAACATTCACTTTAATTTCAACAAAGCCCATAAGATGATTGAATTGAGGTCATGTTTAAAACATCAGTGACTATATTGTGTTAACTTCTTGTTCCTTCATATTACAGCAAACACCCTCCCACTTCATGGATCCAGAGCTACAATTTCAACTGTAGATCATCACATCCTTTATAGAGAGGAGATAGGGCTGCAATGTAAACATGGGTGTGCTGAAGCATCTGTGCACACATTTATTTATTTATTTACTTTGAGCATTTGTATCCCATCCTTCTCAACCTCCAAGGGGGGACTCAGAGCAGCTTACAACTGGCATTTAATAACACTGCTCAACAAAATAGCCCACTTATATACAAAATAGAAAATAAATAAGTACAGCAAATAATATGACTGTTGAAACTTATTATACTGTTCAAATTCACAGTAATCCCAAACGATATTGTATGGGTTTTGAACAATCACTCTGAAATTATATCAACATCGTGTGTTCTTATGCCAAGTTGAACATGAATCAAATTCACAGTAATCACAAAAGATATTGTATGGATTTTGCACAATCACTCTGAAATGCTATGGACGTTGTGTGTTCTTATGCCGAGTTGAACATGAATCAGCCGCCCACTACTGGTTTCGGCCTTACTCCAGGCCTTCCTCTGGTGGTCTGAAATTGTTATATACATCAACAATTGCTACAAATATATCCATTAAACATCAATAATAAAACACATTTGAAGGTACTTAGAAAGTTATACACTTGACACTTGTTCTCCTTAGAGATACAGGTTTTTATACTTAGTGGGATCTAGAACAAAGGAACAAAATGTGGCTGTAAGCATTTGTAAGTTACATATACAGAAAATAAATGTTTTATCAAGATATGAATGTTGATTTGAAAAATGGCACCAGTTTTCCCCTATTAGCTCTAGTTTTTGAAATATACCATTAACTATGATAACTATAGCTAAATAACTAGAGCTGATTCAGCTTATCCAATGCAATTTTCTGAATTAGCACCCCAAATAATCCCAGGAACAAGTCTAAAAACCAAGGCACCAAGAATTTATTTTGTTGGGATGTGTTAAAAAGTATGCAATCATCTACTTTTTTGGCATCCACAAGGGGCTCCATAATTGAACTGCTGAGGATCTAGAGAGCCACTGGATTATACATATTTAAATGGGTTTGGAATTGATTCTTTGTCAAGGGTGTGTATAGGAAATGGCTTACCTGTAGATTAAAGTATGTTTGTCCTTTTTCCCTTGAAGCTGGGTGTTAATTTCATACATTAATTCCCCTACAAACTAATTAGAGACCATCACAATTATTTGTGAATCACCTCTTGTTCTGAAAGTGAATTTTTGGATCGGTTCCTGCCTTCAAAGTAAAGTGACCTAGACAGGAATTGAAAAGCTGTTTGGAGATCACCTTTCCTCCTGTGCATAGTGCCTTGTCATTCTTTTGTCCTTGTTATACAGCCAGGCTTACAGCCACAGTAAATCCCATCATAAACTCTGCTTTATGAGCCTCCATTGTGCAGTGTTTGAGTAGCCCGGTATCCTATGGCTGAGCTCTCTTGTGTCATTGACAGTGTTTGTTTTACTCTATGGGAGGCTGTGGTTTGCTTTCCACTGAGAAATGGAATGCCTGGTTGTTGTTTTGCAGGGATGTATTGTTTATGGGATAGTTGTGCTGAATATCAAAGGAGTGTCAGCAGATATTTATTGTTTTAAGCTGCCTCAGCTGTTCTCCTTCAACAAATAAACCTACATTCAAAATGAATGAGGAGTGCTGCTTGCCTTGTATATCACAATATGTGTAAATATGAATACTTCTTTAGAGTCCGATTAAATCGGAATGGTAGGAACTGTTGAAAACCACTTCCTTCTTTGCAAGCAGATTTCTAAAGGTTGCAGTAGGTCTAAGAGAGTGGACATAGTTAGTCTAACTGTATTTATTTTTCCCCAGCACTTACTGGTATTTTAATTGCAATATGCAAGGCTCCTGCAGAATGTAGAATTTCTTTTTTAAAGGAGTTGGAAAATAGAGATAGGACAGTTTATTGGGATTGCAGGGACAAACATGGCAGCTATAAGGCAGAACAGGGCATTTGCTGAGTCAATAACTTTTCTCTCGTTACTGCTGGGACATCCACTAAAACTTTTTCCTAGGACTTTTTTTACAGCAATGGCTTCATATACTTCACTAGATAGAATCCCGCTTCTTGGCTCTTGTATATCCTTCCCATCTTCATTATTGGAGATTATTCCTTTTCCTTTTTCAATGTGTGTGCATGGTTGGTGCACTTCCATCACATTATTAATTTCATCTGATTCAATGTGTTTTATTGTAAGCTATTTCATTATTTCATCTATGTCCCCCCCCCCCCATTTTCTGCAACCGTGCATGATTTTTTCAAGACATGTACCAATGTAGACGAGCAAATTCAGCAATCCATGGAAAGTTCAAACTTGCTATCCATGGAGAAGAAAGCACAAATGAATGGTGCAAAAGAAATGAAATGTGGCAAGACATTAGTTTAGATTAGAGTTTCTCAAACTGTGCTCCTCCAGATGTTTTGGACTTCAGCTCCCACAATATCTAACAGCTGGTAAGTTGGTTGGGATTTCTGGGAACTGAAGTCCAAAACGTCTGGAGGAGCACAGTTTGAGAAACACTGGTTTAGACAGTTAACAGTGAATCCTAGAACTTCCTTTGTGCTTTGATTTATAGGTCAGCCTCTCCAAAACAGATCAGGATAACAGCAGTCGTACATTTATAGACAGGTTCAACCATGTCACAAGACAACCTAACAAACAAATCCAAACAGTCTATTGTATCAAAAACACATAGAAGAAGGCAGTTTACCCCATAACTTACCACTTGCCAAATGATGCAGAATCTTGACTCAGGAAAGGGCTATTCAGATAGCAAGTTTCCCAAAGCTAGTTGCACTAATGAGAAACCATGTCATATATAGGGTTGCTGTAAGTTTTTCAGGCTATATGGTCATGTTCCAGAAGCATTTTCTCTATCATTTCACCTGCATCTATGGCAGGCATCCTCAGAGGTTGTGAGGACCTCACAACTCTGAGGATGTCTGCCATAGATGCAGGCGAAATGTCAGGAGAGAATACTTCTGGAACATGGCCATACAGCCCGAAAAATTTACAGCAACCCAGTGATTTTGACCATGAAAGCCTTCGACAACACATTTCATATATAGCATTTATATATGATAGGAAACAGCGAGAGTGAGAAAAGAAAACACAGGCAGTGTTTTTATAAAATGGTATAAAGGATGACTTGTTGGGTTCTGGAGTTATATTGTTCTTTCTTTGTCTTCTAATTTTTTCTTTTTTGTTCTTTTATTCTTGAAGGACGGCATGAACTGGGTCTGCAGGAATGTAAATGCAAAGAAGAAGTAAGTTGAACTGAATTGCATGGAATTGGAGGGGCTGCCAAAGCCAAATGCATTAGCAAGCTGCTGGTGTCTGACCAAATATTCTTTTCCATCTGTGTGAGGCTACAGCTGTTAGGAATGGGAACAGCAGCAAAGCCTTCCACTCAAATGGGAACTTTACCTGCTCTCTAACATCATTCCCTCTCCCTGCAAAAATGAAATTTCTTCCTCATCCTCTTTTTTCACCTAAGTTATATTAAAGGTCTCCACCTTCATTTGACTGAACAGTGAGGTTTGAAAACAGAATCAGATTGTGATTTGGCATAAAGACCTTTTTAATGGGATCATAAAGCTAGAATGATCATAGCAATGTATAGAGAAGCCAGTATCAGTCTGGAAATCACTCAGGATGCTCCCCTGGTTTTGTTCAAAGTTTTTCTGATAAACCAATTCTTTGTTAGCATGTGTGCTTCAGTTATAACAGTCATAAATCCCTTGGTACAGTGCTGCGAGGACTGTAATGCAACTCACAAAGAGCATTTATTATAACAATATGTCCAGGTGTTTCAGTCCATTTTTTCACAAAGACACGTGCTGTAGCTTCAGTTCTTCAACTATAAGAAGCATCCAGCACAAGGTATTCTGTAATTTATTCAAATAAAACAGTGTCAGGCTACAGTGGCATGTTGCATTTATGGTTGGCACAAACATTTCCAATAATTCAGGCTCAGTAGAGCCAAGATTTTTTTGGCATGCAGTCTGTTGGACTATATCAATTCACGGAATGAGGATGGGAGTTTAACAACATTGTGGCAGTCAATTTAGTGTGCAAAGTCTTACTGCAAACAGCTGTTAACAGTTTTCTTTGTCCTTTTTGACGTGCTTTAAGGCAGGCTTTGATTCAGTGTTCCTGAGACCTACAAGCGACATGGCAAATGTGTTTATCTCAGGCAATTCAAACAGTCACAGACTGAGAGATTAGCCGGGTCATTGTGGTGTCCATATGAATTGCTGTTGAGGCTGTACAGTCAGTTTATTGCTGCTTTGGAAGTCTGCACCGCTTCTGTACATTCAGTTTTGAACTAAATTGCAGACCAGGTATACAAAATGTAACAGCATAAATATTTTTAAAGAGAGAGATTCCTGATTTTAACAAATATTTCATCAGTCTAATTAGGAGTTTCTATAGAAAGAGTCATTGCGTTCATTCTGAATGCAAGAAGAGAAAACCTTAAGTTGGTCTATGACCTCCCATAGAATATCTGCAGGGAAGATAGCATCCTGCACTTTGAAGAATAGGCATATTTAAACTTGACAAATCTTAGCATATTGCCACAGTGCCTAGATATGAGATAGGAGGCTGCTTCTCACATCTACGTCATCTGCTCAGTTTGTCAATGTTCACAGTAATTTGGCGAGGCAGCCTTGCATGCAATGAGTTTAGTATGCAGCTTTCAGATTAGAGCAAGAATGTTGGCTTAAAATTGCTGTGGCAACTATAAAGCTCTCTCTCATTAGTGGAAGGGAGTAAACTTGATTTGCTAAACCTCAGACTTTTATGTGCATTTTGGTGAAAGTCAGGGAACATAAATTGTGAATATAATCTATTGTCACTCACTACTTTGTGGTACAGGATTTCCTCCTTACTAATCTAGAAATAGCAACTGTCATAATTTCTCATTCACTTGGATTTGAACTTTTAAATTGCTGTTTCACCTGATTCATAAAGTTTGGGACTGAAATAACACCACAAACATACACTATCAGAACCAGGGAGAATATAATAAAGCACAAATAACAATCTAAATCATTTTATTAAAAGCCCCCAAACCTTACAGCTAACAATATTTAGATTCACCGACTCTTAAATTCACGTAAAATATATTGCTCCTTTTCTGTTGGGAAGCTGGTGACACCTCACAATTATTATTATTTTAAAAAAGTACAGTCCTGTACAGATCCAGTTTTATATAAGCCACTGAAAATCCTTTCCCCTCACAACTGAAGTCCAGTTTTTAAGTGGGGGAAAGTAGCCAACTGTTGTAACTACTTGTTGGAAAGGTTTAGCATTTCATAGCATAATGTCGATAAAATTCTCCCCTAAAATCCGAGATATCTCATCCTGTCTTTTCAGTTCAGAGAAAATATATGTTTACTTAATGGCCTGTGCACTAACCAAAAGAAGCACACAACTCACAATTTGTAAAGCAACCTGCAGCTTCTGTATTTTGCATACAAGTCGCAGTTCTCCAAACCATCAAATGGTGAATACAGCATCTCCCAATGTTTGGAGATATTTGGGGGCGGGGGGGGGGGGAATCTTACTAAGGCATGTGCAACTCCTCAAACCAGGAGGCATCACTGTAGTTCATCAATTTTGACAAGCCTCTAAAACCTGCTTGCTATTTTTGAGCTATTTAAGAGCTACAAAATGGGTTGGCCTGATGACACCAGAGGTCAATATGCTGTCTTGAAGAATGACCTCTTCTGGCTGGATGCTTCACAAGATGCATACCAAGAAGTAGGACAATTATGGAACAATCTCTCTCTTATTCCTAGCAAAAAAAGAGAAAATACTGTTCTGATTACAAGAATTCATATCCTGACTATTTCAGTCACTATTTTTCAACCAATGGTCCATGATTTTATCTAATCTTTTTTATCCTGGTACTGTTATCAGCACTCTGAATATTTCTGGTGAGTTCAGTATGTACTGTGGGAAAGCTTTCCCATTACTTAAGTACCGTAAGAGACATGCTTTGAGTCCTTGGCAGGCTAATTCGCTAGTAAATTATCCTTCTCTTTTTCTAAAGAAATGCATATTTCCTGTCTGAATGTCACTATAAGATGTCTTGATACATTTAAAGGCAAGCCGGAATGGCTGAAGTTTAGTTGAGAGACCTGTGTAATTGTTCACATATTAGAATGAAAAGAGAGCATGGTTCATGTGACTTAATTACTTATTCTTTTAATTATACATGGCTCAGTCTGCTCTTTGAACAGACTTTTCTTGTATGCCAGATTATGTTCAGATGCTTTATAAAGCCATAGTTGTAAACCTGATCCAGTGTACCGTCTTTTGCTTTTTCATTCTGTATTACTTTAGGGTACATCCAATTTGTACGAGTTCTTTGTTTTCTTCTCTCCTTTTTGAAGTTAATTAAAAGGGAGTATGATGATATTTGGTGACGTTATGCCTCAGTGTATTTGTTTAGATGTTTGGCAATAAAATTTGGTAGAAATGGCAAATATTTTGTGATTCTGTATTATTTTAAAACAAGACCTTGATAGGTAATTGAGGAACCACATCTCAAACTCTTCTGCAGAGATTGCTCCAGTTTGGTGTGACATTGAACCTCCATCAGCTTCATCTCCATCTATAGTAATACTTCTGTATATTGCTTTTGTACGCATGGAGCCTTGTAGCTTAAGCTTTGTATGGATAGGCTCTCCTGTTAAATTTTTACTGTCTCTAGATACTAGTTTCACTTTTCTGGACAAGAGAAGCTCAAACTTTATACCACACTGGTTCTTAGATACTACGATCCTTACTGGAATCAAGTATTGAAACATGTTAATATACCAAATACTATGTATTACTGGGTTTCAACTCTATTTTTTCACTTGATTAAAATGTGTTTTACGATCAGCTCCTGCAGATGGATTTTTGTAAACTGGTTAGTTTAGGCTTTTACCAAGAAGCCCAAGAATTTGCAATACTGAATGGAAAAAGTTACAGGAAAAGAAGTGATCAACATAAAGATACAAAAATATTACAACCTGTCCTATGTCAACTACATCAGGTATGATGTCCAATCAACTGGGGAGAATATTAGATGTTTTCTCTCAATTTGGGGCCAAGAAATTATTTATTCCAATCTCCTCCCAAAGTAGCATACCTGTTCATGTCTAATTTCTGTAATAGATTGGATATGGAAAACATCTCTTTGGTGAACAAATGCCCTGGGAGAAGTTGAACTTGTCGCCGTATTATTTATTATTTGCTTTCAGGTTTCTGCATTTCCTTCTCCTGTTGCTATTCACTATAGAATGCCATATAATTTACGATGGATTTGCTATGTGACCTTGTTTGTATGTCAGGTAGGGAGAATTACACCCAGAAGCTTTTACATTTACATGATAAATTGGGTACTCTTAAAATGACAAGGATTTGGTTTGGCCCTATATACGCAGATTCTGGCCTGAAGAAGAACTAAAGGCATGTTTTATTGCGGTGGCTGCTGATGCATCTTTTATTGCTTGGACTAAAAGATTCTTGTATCCTTGACCAAGCCCATCAGTACAACAGAAACTGGTAACCACTGGTTTTCATCTCTACTAACCCACCTTTTAAATTGTTGGGTAGTTATTTCCTTTAGCAAGGAATATTCTCATTTCACCAGCTATTTTGCTTGGTTCGCTTCTTTGCCAACCAACTGAATACTGTGATGAGATATTGATTCATTTAAGATTATACAGGCTATTAAGACACGGAGCACTGGTAGATATGCTACCTGTAAATGATGCTATGGTTTGATGTAGGGTGGTCTAGCTGCAACATGAAGAACAACCAAATTAATTCCATGGTGCAACAAAAAAAAACCTTCCTCCCTTCCTTTCTGTGCAGCAACTGAAAGCATAAATAAAAGCTGTTCTAGTGGGAAAACAGCATAGACGCTTTTCTATATGGTTGACATCTCTTTCTTAGCCTCTTTGGCCAACATCTTTAAAATCCACAAAACAGTGATACTTTTATTGAGCCAACGAAAAAAAACAGTAAATATAGCATGTAAGCTTTAGAAAGCTTCATCTGGCAAAAATATAGGAGAAGAAAAGTGATGGTGCTAGAGCAGCGTTTCTCAGCCTGGGGGTTGGGACCCGGGGGGGGGGTAGCGAGGGAGGTTCACAGGTGTTGCCAAGGACCATCAGAAAACATCTATCTCTGATGATCTTAGGAACCCCTTTGGCAGAGAAGGCTGAAGATCTATCTGCCTGTCCTCCTCTTCCTTTTTGGAAACAGGTGGCAAATCCTCCCACCAAAAGCCCTCCTCCGCTGTGATTGCCTAGCCTCTCAGCCAAGAGGAGGGCTGTTTCTCAGACTTCAAGCGAGGAGGGGAGAGCAGGTGTGCTCAGCATGGCAGCGTGGTGCGCATGCACAGACGAGAGAGAGCCTGTGAGGCTGAAGGGAGCCTCACGCCAATAAGTCTCTTTAAGACATGGGGGTTCTATGTGGGAAGTTTGGCCCAATTCTATCATCGGTGGGGTTCAGATTGCTCTTTGATTGTAGGTGAACTGATGACGCCTGTGCGTGAATTTTTTTAATGTGTGGAGGTCAGTGCACACTGATCAACACACAGTCTTCACAGAGTGAGGTTCTTCGGGTGGCATAGTTTACCAAGATGACCATGGCTTCTCTGTTGCAGCCTTCTTCTGCCTTCACAGCTGTTGTAACATGTACCATGTTATCCTCCACCTGCTCTGCCATTGAGGTCTTTGGGTCTTCGGACTGGTGAACTATGAACTATAACTCCCAAATGTCAAGGTGTATTTCCCCCAGTGTTCATATTTGGGCATATTGAGTATTCTTGCTAAGTTAGGTCCAGATCCACCATTGTTTGAGTCCACAGTGCCCTTTAGCCCCATCAACTTCCATTGAGGTTCAGGCTATCTCTATCCTGGTTGAGACTAACCACCCCTCTCTTAGGCAGAGAACATTGCATTTAATGGACCAATGAAGGTGACAGGGAGGGAGACATTTGTCTGTAGGAATTGGTTCAGATGTCAACTTACTAGCAGATGCTACAATAACAGTCACAAATCCCCACCTGCCTGCCTTTTGCAGCTCCTTTCCAGTTTTGTAGACTGAGCAACAGGACTGTAAAGGAAGAAGAGGGCCAGGACTTACATATATTCCCCCCTCTCTTGCCCTCTGCTGCTGCTTTCAAACAGGTGCAGACCACAGAGGGAATGTAAGTTATGTCCAGCAGAGTGAGCATCTACACAGCTGGGCAAACATGGCCAAAGCTGTCTAGCTCCCCAGCAGCTGTTTTATTTTTATTCCAACTGTAAATTTCCAAGAGTCACACCCACCATCTGCGAAAGAGGAGACAGCTGAGTGATAACATAAAGTGCTGCAAGACTAAAGGGGGATTATGCTGAAAGCAGATGAGGGGAAGAGACCCAAGTCCTTCACAAAGCAGGGAGAAGAAGGAGGTGGTTTGATCTGTTTTCAAGTAAAATCACTACAGGCAGAATAGTCTTAAGACTCTAAACCTTTTAAAACTAAAGCCGTGGGACAGTACCAACTCAAGTTTCCAGCTGTCTACCTAGAGATCACAGTTAGCTTTTATAGGGTGGGGTGGGGTGGGGTGGATCTTCAAGCTTAGTAAGGAAGAATGCAACTTCTGTAGAGTCCAAAGTCCCTTTGTTCAAGCTTCTTCCCAAACAGCTGGGATAAGCAGCACTTCAGTTGTGCTTCAGGGATGAAGGAGATGGTGGCTGGGCACAGGGACAAGTGAAGGAGTTCTTTTCAAAGAGATCTGCATCATATCCAGCAGACAAGAACCAGCACTCACCTCTCCCTGGCTTCATTTCCCCAGTACTTAGTTACTGGTATGTGCATTTGATTCTTCACTGTTTACTTTGATTCATGGAGCATGCAGTGGGTTAAACCCCTGCCATCAAGACTTAAGACCAACAGGTCTCGGGTTCGAATTAGGGGAGAGTGTGGATGAGCTCAATCTGTCAGTTACAGCTCCTCACGCGGGGACATGAGAGAAGCCTTCCACTAGGATGATAAAACATGAAAACATCTGGGCGTCCCCTGGGCA